GCTCAAGCAATCCTTCTGCCTCAGCCTACCAAGTAGCTAGGATTTGCCTGGCTAATTTTCTTTTAAAATTTTTTGTAGAGATGAGGTCTCTCTATATTGCCCAAGCTGGTCTTGAACTCCTGGGCTCATGTGATTCTCAAGTCTTGGCATCCCAAAATGAAGGGATTACAGGTGTGAGCTGCTGCACCTGGTCAACATTAGTCATCCTTTTTTTTTTTTTTGAGACAGAGTCTTGCTCTGTCACCCGGGCTGGAGTGCAGTGGTGTGATCTCGGCTCATTGCAATCTCTACCTCCCAGGTTCAAGCAATTCTCCTGCCTCAGCCTCCTGAGTAGCTGCGATTACAGGTGCCCACCACCATGCCCAGTTAATTTTTGTATTTTTAGTAGAGACAGGGTTTCACCATGTTGGCCAGGCTGCTCTCGAACTTTTGATCTCAAGTGATCTGCCCACCTTGGCCTCCCAAAGTGCTAAGATTACAGGCGTGAGCCACTGTGCTCAGCTCCAGCATTAGTTATCTTAATGGCATGTTCTTAGCCGAGAGCTGGAGGTACCTTCCTCACTATTGACTGTAACTTACCAAAGGGCCCAGACACAAGTTCCCTGGCTGGGATGGATTGCCTTGTGGCTAGGCCTTGACATTAGATTTTATTTCCTTTATCCTAAAGGTCACACAACTGTTGCAGGACACAGAGGACTAGAGAGACTAGCATGGGTGAATACAGGAGGATGTTTATTAGGTGCGCACTGGCTCAGTGGACTCACATCTAAAAAGCTGAGCATTGAACAAAGACAGAGTTTAGCTTACATAGGCTAGTACAGAGAAACAGGACAAAAACAGTAAACTATACAGTGACTAGTCACGTAACCTATAGCATAACTGTTGACTTGGTATAACTTGTAAAACAGAAACTTACAAATTTTACTGAATAAAAGTATTGGCAAACATAGTCATAATTAATGGTTTAGAGAAAGGGGAGACAGCAAAGAAATTTGTTTTTCTTCTTTTAACTTTGTTCAGGGGTGTCTGGAGCCTATTTCTGCAGGCTAGGTCACCATGACCTGTCTATAGCCTTGCCTGCAGTAGAAGAAAACTTCTGTTTTTCACTTAACCTTTACTTTTCTTGCAGTGAGTACATGCAGTATTTATTTTCTTTAAATTTCTGCTTCACAATCTGTTTCCAATGACCCTTTCCTGCCTTAGTTACAGTAATTCCATTGTCTTGACTTCAAAAAGCTTTCTAGTTCCTCATCTCCATGTTACGGCTCATTGATGGGAATATTGGGTGTGAGTTTTACTCCCCAACATTTGGACGTAATTATTAAATGTCACTTTTCTTTTTGTTTATTTTTCTGAGATAGCATCCTGCTCTGTTGCCCAGGCTGAAGTGTAATGGCATCATGATCATGCCTTACAGCAGCTAATTCTTTTTTTTTTTTTTTTAACTTTTTTATACAGATGTGGGTCTCTACAAAATGTTGCCCAGGCTGATCCTGAACTTCTGGGCTCGAGCAATCCTCCCACCTCACCCTCCCAAAGTGCTGGGATTACAGACGTGAGCCACCATGCCCGTTTACCTTCCTTTCTTTCTTTTCTCTTTTCTTTCATCTTTCTTTCTTCTTTCTTTCGTTCGTTCCTTCCTTCCTTCCTCCCTCCCTCCTTTCTTTTCTTTCTTTCTTTCCTTTCTTTCTTTCTTTCTTCTTTCCTCTCTCTTTATTTCTTTCTTTTCTTTCTCTCTCTCTTTCTTCCTTCCTTCCCTGCCCTTCTCCTTCCTTCCTTCCTTCTTCCTTGCTTCCCTCCTTCCTTCCTTTCCTCCCTCCCTCCCTCTCTCTCCTTCCTTCCCTCCTTTCCTTTCCTTTCTTTTTCTTTCCTTTCCATTCCTTTCCTTTCCTTCCCTTTTCCTTCCTTCCTTCTTTCCTTCTTTCCTTCCTTCCTTTCTCTCTTTCTTTCCTCCTTTTTTCTGAGATAGAGTCTAGCTCTGTCACCCAGGCTGGAGTGTAGTGGCACAATGTTGCCTCACTGCAAACTCCGCCTCCCAGGTTCAAGCAATTCTTGTGCCTCAGCCTCCCAAGTAGCTGGGATTACAGACGTGGGCCACCACGCCCAGTTAATTTTTGTATTTTTAGTAGAGACGGAGTTTCACCATGTTGGCCAGGCTGGTCTTGAACTCCCGACCTCAGGTGATCCACCCGCCTCAGCCTCCCAAAGTGCTGGGATTACAAGCATGAGCCACCATGCCTGGCCTTATTTTTTTATGTTAGATAACCAGCTCTGTGCCCTCAGCTACCCGGCTGGCAGGAAATTAAACTCCAGGCATGTTTGTTGAGAGTGCTCATCTTTAGGGTTAGGTAAGACTCTGGAATCTGGGACTTTCAGGGACTGTCAGCTAGTCTTCAGTGGACAGTGATCACTGCTGTTAAACTCACTTTCCACTGCCTCGCCAAGTCTTGCCAAGGTGGAGACAGAGGAGGGGCCTGGGCATGAGTTCCCCTCTAAGGCTATCACTTCCCTAAGGCCTTGCTGGGCGGGAGAGTCGGCTCTAGCCATTCTTTCTCTTAATACACACACACACACACACACACACACACACACACACACACTCCCTACTTGTGAATCCCACAAAATTCCCCTAAGACCTGCCCTCACTCTGTAGGGGATCTCTCAAAAACCTTTCTCCTTCCCGAGTTGATCCAGGGAGCTGTCATCAGTAATCCAAGAGCTTAGGGAGGCTGCAGCGGGAACACTGCTTGAGTCCAGGAATTTGAGGCTGCTGTGAGCTATATGATGACACCACTGCACTCCATGCACTGTAGCCTGGGAGACAGAGCGAGACCGTGTGTCAAAAACTAAACAAAACGAAACAGAAAAACAAAAAAACCAACTTTTTTTTTAAAACAGTTTTTTCATGAAGAGCTTCTGCAGAGCATCAAAACCAGCTCAGCAAGAGAAAATGTGGTTCTTGGTTTCCCTGAGGACAAGAAGGGCTCACATGCCTAGAGGGGGGAGTTATTATGTTGAAATTCCATCCTGCAGGAAAGGGGAACCCTACTTTTCTTACAGCCTTGAAATGAGCCCTACTACTTCTACAGCTTTAAATAACAAGAGGCCAGACACGGTGGCTCACGCCTGTAATCCCAGCACTTTGGGAGGCCGAGGCAGGTGGATCACTTGCGGTCAGGAGTTTAAGACCAGCCTGGCCAACATAGTGAAACTCCATCTCTACTAAAAATACAAAAATTAGTCAGGTATGGTGATGCGCATCTGTAATCCCAGCTACTCGGGAGGCTGAGGCAGGAGAATCGCTTGAACCCAGGAGGTGGAGGTTGCAGTGAGCTGAGATTGTGCCACTGCACTCCAGCCTGGGCGACAGAGCAAGACTCCATCTCAAAATGAAATGAAATGAAATGAAATAAATGAAATGAAATGAAATAAATGAAATGAAATGAAATGAAATGAAATGAAATGAAATGAAATGAAATGAAGATACAAAAATTAGCCGGGTGTGGTGGCATGCACCTGTAATCCCAGTTACTCTGCAGGCTGAGGCAGGAAAATTGCTTGAACCCGGGAGACGGAGATTGTACCATTGCACTCCAGCCTGGGCAATGGAGCAAGACTGTTTAAAAAAAATAAAGTAAAATAAAAGAACAAGAGGCAGGAAAACCAGGCAAATTTCCTTATCAAAATACAACCGATGGCATAAACATTTCTGGATAGCCTGACCCTTCTGATGTTGATTTATCTGCTTAAACTCTTCTAGGTTTCCAGATGTCTGTCTCACTGTCTCCTGCAATGACTACCTTGCTGAAAGCATGCGGCACACAAGGCTTCATGATCTTACCTCCTCTGCCTACTCCCCTCCTCCCCAACTCCCACCAAATAGGCTGATCCTTGACTGTTCCCTGCTTGTGCTGAGCTGTTTCGGGTTTCTGTGCTGGAATATCCTTCCTCTTCTCTGCCAGGTGAATGCATCATCTCCAAGGTTGGCTCGAACATCTCTTCCTGAGAAGTCTTCCTAGATGTGTGAAGGTTGGAGAAGATTCTTCCCCAGGTACACGAGGGAAGCACAACCCCTTCTGGAACCTCAGTCTCTTCTAGTTCCCCTCAGGACCTGGCTGCCCAAATGACAGTGGCTTTCCACATGTTTGTCACCTGGAAAAGAAGCTGCTCAGCCATTGGCTGTGAAGGACAGAGGCGGCTTCACTCTCCATGTCGGCACCATTTTGGAAAAGGATTTTCAGGCGTGAGATAAGTCCACAGCCAGTTTCCCAGCCCCATCTGACCTCTGCCCTGGCCTATCCCTCAGTCCAGTACAAGGGGAGGCCTGAAGGTCTTGGTTATACTCTGGTTCCTGCCCCCACCCTCGCCCCCACCCTCACCCCCACCCCAATGAACCAGGCAGCTTCTAGCTTGTTCTGCACCCTGCACGCTCCCCTGCAGTGACTTAGGGTGCTCGGGGCCTCCACACAGCTGACCTGGCTCAGCCCTTCAGCCCCTCCAGCTCCCTACTAAATACTTTGCCTTCTCATCATTACTCTCAGGCTTCCCTCAGGCTGCTGCTAGGATTCCGGCTGATGGATGGAGGCAGGAGAGAGTGGTGGGAGGCAGAACCTGGAGGACATCAAAAATTAGAGGAGGGAAGGAGGGAATCTGGCTGTGGAGGCGTGGCCAGGTGAGTTTCCCTTGCAGCCTTGCAGCCAGGAGAAAAGTTCCACCTGGAGGGAAGAGAAAGGAGAGCCACAGGACAGTCACCCCCACTTCCTCTTGCGCCTTGCTAGTTCTTTTCTCCAAAACGCACCTCTGAGCCTACTCGGTTCGTTGACCCTGACCCTGAGTGTGTTGTTTGATTTGGAACAGGAGGACAGAGGCTTACGTGGGTCATTTAAAGTCAAAGTTCCTAACTCTGCCCCACCTCCTGAACACGGCCTGATTCCTAATTCCCTCTAGCTCCACCCCCGACCCCTCTGCCCTTGGGGTTTTTCATAATATCCATCATTCCTCTTGACCGGCAGCGCCTTCAGAGGCGGAGAGAAACATCCTGCACCCAGGTCCTCTCTGGCTGTTTATCGTTGTCTATTTTGCATTCTGCATTCGGAACCAAGAGCCTGAAGACGACCCAGGAGCTTCAGCTATGGCTGTCTTCATTATTTTGTCCCTGTTTAGTGTTCTGGTGACAGGCATAGGTGAAGGCGGGGCTGGGAGTGAGAAAGGAGGTGAGAGGGAATGTAAGCTGAACCAGCTTCCCCATTGCCCCTCTATATCTCCCAGTGCCCAGCCTTGGACACACCCTGGCCAGAGCCAGCTGTTTGCAGACCTGAGCCGAGAGGAGCTGACAGCTGTGATGCACTTTCTGACCCAGCGACTGGGGCCAGGGCTGGTGGATGCGGCCCAGGCCCGGCCCTCGGACAACTGTGTCTTCTCAGTGGAGCTACAGCTGCCTCCCAAGGCTGCAGCCCTGGCCCACCTGGACAGGGGGAGCCCCCCACCTGCCCGGGAGGCACTGGCCATCGTCTTCTTTGGCAGGCAACCCCAGCCCAACGTGAGTGAGCTGGTGGTGGGGCCACTGCCTCACCCTTCCTACATGCGGGACGTGACCGTGGAACGTCATGGAGGCCCCCTGCCCTATCACCGACGCCCCGTGCTGTTCCGAGAGTACCTGGACATAGACCAGATGATCTTCGACAGAGAGCTGCCCCAGGCTTCTGGGCTTCTCCACCACTGCTGCTTCTACAAGCACCAGGAACGGAACCTGGTGACAATGAACACGGCTCCCCGTGGTCTGCAATCAGGGGACCGGGCCACTTGGTTTGGCCTCTACTACAACATCTCAGGGGCTGGGTTCTTCCTGCACCCCGTGGGCTTGGAGCTGCTAGTGAACCACAAGGCCCTGGACCCTGCCCGCTGGACCATCCAGAAGGTGTTCTATCAAGGCCGCTACTACGACAGCCTGGCCCAGCTGGAGGCCCAGTTTGAGGCCGGCCTTGTGAATGTGGTGCTGATCCCAGACAATGGCACAGGTGGGTCCTGGTCCCTGAAGTCCCCTGTGCCCCCGGGTCCAGCTCCCCCTCTGCAGTTCCATCCCCAGGGCCCCCGCTTCAGTGTCCAGGGAAGTCGAGTGGCCTCCTCACTGTGGACTTTCTCCTTTGGCCTCGGAGCATTCAGCGGCCCAAGGATCTTTGACGTTCGCTTCCAAGGGGAGAGGGTGGCCTATGAAGTCAGTGTCCAGGAGGCCTTGGCCATCTATGGAGGCAATTCTCCTTCTGCTCTACGAAGCCGGTACATAGATAGCGGCTTTGGCTTGGGCCACTTCTCCACGCCCCTGACCCGTGGGGTGGACTGCCCCTACCTGGCCACTTATGTGGACTGGCACTTCCTTTTCGAGTCCCAGGCCGCCAAGACAATACGTGATGCCTTTTGTGTATTTGAACACAACCAGGGCCTCCCCCTGCGGCGACACCACTCAGATCTCTACTCCCACTACTTTGGGGGCCTTGCAGAAACGGTGCTGGTCGTCAGATCTGTGTCCACTATGCTCAACTATGACTATGTGTGGGATACAGTCTTCCACCCTAATGGGGCCATAGAAGTCAGACTCCACACCACCGGCTACATCAGCTCAGCATTCCCCTTTGGTGCTGCCCAGAGGTATGGGAACAAAGTTTCAGAGCACACCCTGGGCACGGCCCACACCCACAGCGCCCACTTCAAGGTGGACCTGGATGTAGCAGGTAAGGCATCCTGGCAGAGGCAAAGGTGCCGGAGGGGTGAGCTGAAGTCTCCATGCCTAGCTTTAAAAGTTTTCTTTGGGCTGGGTATGGTGGCTTATGCCTATAAGCCCCGCACTTTGGAAGTCTGAGGTGGGCAGATCACTTGAGGTCAGGAGTTCAAAACCAGCCTGGCCAACATGGCGAAATCCTGTCTGTACCAAAAGTACAAAAATTAGCTGGGCATGGGTACACCTGTAATCCTAGCTACTCAGGAGGCTGAGGCAAGAGAATCACTTGAATCTGGGAGTCAAGAGGTTGCAGTGAGCTGAGATCGAGCCACTGCGCTCCATCCTGCATGACAACCAGACTTTGTCTCAAAAAAAAAGTCTTCCATAGTTAAAAAATTACCTCTGTGATTATAGAATCTATTATATTGTATACTATGTATAAATATGATATACTGATCGAAGTATTTAGATTTATATACTCAAATGTTATCATAATGTACCTCTGTTTTGTCACTTCTGTTTTTTCACATAACAACATTTTTCAAGCAAGCAACAAAAATGTATGAATGCACACTTGTGCCAAGCACCCCACTATGCAGTTTAACAAAAGAAACAACAGTGTTGCTCTCAGGTGGTTTACATTCTTTTTTTCATCTCTTTTCTTTTTTCTTTTTTGAGACAGGGTCTCTATCACCCAGGCTGGAATGAGGTAGTGTGATCATAGCTCACTACAACCTCAACTAACTGGGCTCATGTGATCCTCTCACTTCGATCTCCCAAACTGCTGGGATTACAAGTGTAAACCACCATGCTCAGCCCTTATCATTTTTTGGTGGTGAGAACACTTAAACTCTACTCTTCGCAATTTTCCAGAATATATAATACATTGTTATTAACTATAGTCACCGTGTTGTACAATAGATCTCTTTGGGATTTCTGCTGTTGTTTGAAACAGGATCTTACTCTGTCAACCAGGCTGGAGTGCAACGGTATAGCTCACTGCAGCCTCAACTTACTGAGCTCAAGCAATCCTCCCAATTCAGCCTCCTGAGTATCTGGGACTGTGGGCACACGCCACCACACTCAGCTAATTTAAGTTTTTTTGCTTTTTGTTTTTTTTTTAATAGAGATGGGGATCTCACTATGTTGCCAAGGCTGGTCTTGAACTCCTGGGCTCAAGCAATCCTCCCTCCTCAGCCTCCCAAAGTGCTGGGATTACAGGCATGAGCCACCATGTCCAATAGATCTCTTGAACTTCTGAAATTTTTTATTCCTTGAGCTACATCTCCCCAACTCCACCCTCCTTAAGGCACTGGTAACCACCATTCTACTTCCTACTGCTATGAGTTCAACTTTTTTTTAGATTCCACATATAAGTGAGATCATATAGTGTTGTCCTTCTGTGTCTGACTTATTTAATTAACATAATGTCCCCTAGGTTCATCCATGTTGTTGCAATGAGATTTTCTTCTTTTAAGGCTGAATAGTATTTCATCATGTAGATATACCACATTTTCTTAATCCTTAAAAGTTTTCCTTATTCCTTATACATTTATTAATTGGAATTTTCCATAAAGAAGAGTTGTCCTTCCTTTTTATTTCTGTTTTCAATTATTTATTCAAATTGTATAGACTCATGGTTTTTTATTGTACTTTAAGGGTTATAACGGAGTACTATCATTTACTTTGTTCCTTACATTTTTCCAACTCTGGCCATTGGGAGGTCCTTCAGATTAGTTCCTATGTCCTTTTCACATACCTCCACGCTTTTTTGAGCCCTTCCTTACTTTCTGGCACCCAAAAATGTTTCATGTGGCATTTCCCCTGCTCCTACCCTGGAATCAACCTTGTCTGCAAGGAGATCAGGTTCACTTTATTGGAGAATTGTATTTAGAAACCAATATCTGGGCACCAAGTATGCTCATCATTACTGGGATGTCATTGCTTTTAGGCCCTCTCAGTAGACTTAGCTAGAAAATTCAAGCATATATTCCAACCAACCCATACACACACATCTATCTTTATCTCTGTATTAAATGAGGACAACTTTTAAAACACTTGGAATAGTGCCTGACACATAGCGGGCCCTTGAGAAATACTAGGTATTGTTGTGATTAGCCACAGGAGCCTACTTGTGTGTGTGGACCATAAAGAACTCTTAGTCTGTGGCTGGGCACAGTGGCTCACGCCTGTAATCCCAGCACTTTGGGAGGCTGAGGTGGGTGGATCACCTGAGGTCAGGAGATTGAGACCAGCCCGGCCAACATGGAGAAACCCCGTCTCTACTAAAAATACAAAAATTAGCTGGGCATGCTGGTGTGTGCCTGTAATCCCAGCTATTCTGGAGGCTGAGGCAAGAGAATCACTTGAACCTGGGAGGTAGAGGTTGCAGTGAGCCCAGATCATGCCACTGTACTCCATCCTGGGCAACAAGAGCAAAACCCTGTCAAAAAAAAAAAAAAGAAAAAAGAAAAAAAAAAAACCTTTTAGTTTGCAATTGTCAGCTAAGGGTGGAAACACTGGGATATGGATTAGGGGCAGTGAATCTACAAAAGGAAACTAAGGGTTTGCTGAATCAGTCTCTCCTCTCTCCTGGTCTTTGGAAGGTGCAGAGGGAACTACCAGCATGTTTTGATTTATTGCTCCTTGTCTCAGATCACTTAACTTGACTCCTAATGTGGGACCTAGTTGGACTCAAATAAAATCATTCAGACTCCAAAAGTTCAGGAAACAGATTGTGTCTTAACCCCTGCTCCCTGCTCCCTGCCAAGTTTCAAACATGAAAGGTACCTCCAAGCCCCAGCAGCATCAGGCCCAGCGTTGGTTTTCCTTCCCCTTGGTCCCCACGTCTGCTGTTCTTGTGTTGTGGTGTCTCTCTATGCTGTCTTCCTCTATGTGCTGATGTGTGGGCAGTGTAAGGCCAGATTAAGACCCAGGTCCCCAGCACTGCCATGATATTAACCGTGTGTCCTTACTGACCAACCAAGGTACATTACTGAATGCTCTAAACCTCAGTTGTCCCATCTGTAAAATGGAGACAATGATAGTTCCTCCTTTTTGAGATTGTTGGAAAAGTGAAAGCATGAATACACAGAAGGCACTCAGCATGCTGCCTACACAGCTCCTTCAGGTTCAGTCAATGTGCGGCTTATTTTCATGATAAGGCAGTCCTGGCAATGCCACAGGGCTTCACATGTGAGGGGAAGTCTTCAGGTCAGAGGGAGTGCCACCCCGCCCATTGCCCACAAGGTTGTTCCAACCTCAGGTAAACACCCTCCCATGCAGCCCCTCAGAGGGAGGAGATTGGTGGAGGCCCAGTCACAAGGCATCTGGGATTATTACCAGAGAAGAGAGTAGAGAGAAAGACCTCCTCCAAATCCCTGGACTGGGGTTATCTTGCAGAGAGGGAAGAGAAGCAGGGGCACACTCAGTTCTGGGCTGCTCTTTTGCCCCCACTCTGAAGCCAGGTGGAGGCAGAGTCCAGAGGGGCCAAGGCAATTGCATGACAGGCCCTCCCCCATCCCACCCTGAGCAGGACTAGAGAACTGGGTCTGGGCCGAGGATATGGCCTTTGTCCCCATGGCTGTGCCGTGGAGCCCTGAGCACCAGATGCAGAGGATGGAGGTGACCCGGAAGCTGCTGGAGACGGAGGAGCAGGCCACCTTCCCCATGGGAGGTGCAACCCCTCGCTACCTGTACCTGGCCAGCAACCACAGCAACAAGTGGGGTCACCCCCGGGGCTACCGCATCCAGGTGCGCAGCTTTTCTGGGGAGCCGCTACCCCAGAACAGCTCCATGGAGAGAGGCTTCAGCTGGGGGAGGTGAGTGGTTGGCGGTCAGGAGGGAGTGGGGCAGGTAGAATGGATGAAGGGCTCCACACTGTTCCACCTCCCACAGGTACACACACACACACACACACACACACACACACACACACACACATTCCTGTGACCACAATCTGTAGCCACTCAAAGCCTAATGGGTGGGTGGAGGAATGCTGAGATATGAGGCATTGAAGCAAATCTAGGAAAATATTAGTGGTAGACGCTAGACTTGAGTATGTGGATGTTCACATACAATTCTTCCAATTTTTCTGTATGTTTAAAATGTTCACATTAAAGGTTGGAGGAAAAGAACAGTGAGATAGGAGCACAGATCGGAGGGAGGATTCCCTAAAATCTAGGTATTTGGGATACTGAACTTGACCTAGGATGGGAAAGAGGCCATGTCCATATGTGATTCCAAGGCCCAGGCTCAACATCATGCTCTGATCCAGATGGATGGATGAGCAGCATTCCTACCTGAAGTCTGCTGGGCCAGTGATGTTTAAGGTACAGGACAGCGGACAAGTCGGGAAGCCTACAGATGAGAGAGAGAGAGAGAGAGAGAGAGAGGCAAGGAGAACTGGACAGAGACGATACAGAGGCTCAATACTCTAAGACTTCGGGGCTCATTTCCCCCTTGTGTTTGTTCACTCTTCAATGCAGCCTCAGGCAGTGGAACGGTTGATGAACTTGTCAGTCTAATCAAAAACTCCTGTAGGTACCAGCTGGCAGTAACCCAGCGGAAGGAGGAGGAGCCCAGTAGCACCAGCATCTACAATTTGAATGACCCTTGGACACCCACTGTGGACTTCACCAACTTCATCAACAATGAGACCATTGCAGGGCAGGTCAGTTGCATGGAGTGGTGAGCAGGCAGCTGGGGAGGAGGGGAGGAGTCAGGGGGACAAGATGAGCCACTTCATTGCCTCAGGAGCCAGATTCCTCAGGGACCTTCAGAACCCACTAAGAATGAAACTTCGGCCGGGTGCAGTGGCTCATGCCTATAATCCCACCCAGCACTTTAGGAGACCGAAGCAGGTGGGTCTCTTGAGGTCAGGAATTCGAGACCAGCCTGGTCAACATGGTGAAACCCCATCTCTACTAAAAATACAAAAATGAGCAGAGTGTGGTGGCGCGTGCCTGTAATTCCAGCTATTCGGGTGCCTGAGGCTTGAACCCAGGAGGTGGTGATTGCAGTGAGTCGAGATCACACCACTGCACTCCAGCCTGGGTAACAGAGCGAGACTCTGTCTCAAAAAAAAAAAAAAAAAAAAAAAAAAGAAGAAAAGAAACTTTATGACTTCACATTTTTCCTGAGGAACTAAGAACATATAGGTGGGTGAGCTGACTCCCTATCTGCAAGGTCACTGCGAGGGCAGGGCACATTCTCAGCAAAGCCAGACCTCGTGACCCTCTTTCTTCTCCCCTGCTAGGACTTGGTGGCCTGGGTGACAGCTGGTTTTCTGCACATCCCACATGCAGAGGACATTCCTAACACGGTGACTGTGGGGAACAGCGTGGGCTTCTTCCTCCGACCCTACAACTTTTTTGACGAAGACCCCTCCTTCTACTCTGCTGACTCCATCCACTTCCGAGGGGACCAGGATGCTAGGGCCTGTGAGGTCAACCCCCTGGCTTGCCTGCCGCAGGCTGCTGCCTGTGCCCCCGACCTCCCTGCCTTCTCCCACGGGGGCTTCTCTCACTACTAGGCGGTCCCTGGGATGGGGCATGTGGCCAAGGGCTCCAGGGCCAGGGTGTGAGGGACGGGGAGCAGCTGGGCACTGGGCCGGCAGCCTGGTTCCCTCTTCCCTGCGCCAGGACCCTCTTTCTTCCACTGCCCTGCCTCGCATCCCCTCTATGCCAGGAGCCTCCTGACCCTGTGATGCCTGACACAGGGGACACTCAGCCTTTTGATGCCAGCTGTGCTGAGTTCCCATCCAGAGAGGTGAGGCATGGCCCCTCCTGGAGCTTAGAGCCGTGGCCAGGCATTTCCCCAGACCACTCCTGGTTTTCTTAACAGTTTGTTTTTTTTAATGAGACATAATTTACATATCATAAAATTCATCCCTTTAAAGTATACAATTTCATGAGTTTTGTTTTTGTTTTGTTTGTTTGTTTTTTGTTTTTTTTTTCTTCTTTTGAGACGGAGTTTCACTCTTGTTGCCCAGGCTGGAGTGCAATGGCACGTTCTCAGCTCACTGCAACCTCCGCCTCCTTGGTTCAAATGATCAAGTGATTCTCCTGCCTCAGCCTCCTGAGTAGCTGAGATTAGAGGCTCCCATCACTATGCCTGGCTAATTTTTTTTTTTTTTTGTATTTTTAGTAGAGAAGGGATTTCACCATGTTGACCAGGCTGGTCTCAAACTCCTGACCTCAGGTGATCCACCTGCCTCAGCCTTCCAAAGTGCTGAGATTACAGGCATGAGCCACTGTGCCCAGCACAGTTTCATGTGTTTTAGTATATCCACAAAGTTTTGCAACCATTGCTACTAATTCCAGAACATTTTTATCACCCCAGAAGGAAATCCTGTATGTGTTAGCAGTCACTTTCTATTTCCCCACAGTCCCTCTCCATCTCTAGATAACCACTTCCCTACTGTCTGTCCCACTGGGTTTGCCTATATTCTGGTCATTTGCATGAAAAGATTCAGACAATACGTGGTCTTCTGTGATTGGCTTCTTTCACTTAGTGCAATGTTTGTGAGATACGTCCATGTTGTAGTGTATGTCAGTGTCTCACTTCTTTATGGCTAAATGATATCCCATTGTATCAATATATCTCATTGTGATTATCCATTCATCCATTGGTGGATATTGGAGTTGTTTCCACTTTTTTGGTTATTATAGATAATGCTGCTATAAACGTTCATGCACAAGTTTTCGTGTGGACGTGTGTTTTCACTTCTCTTGGGTATGTACCTAGGAGTAGAATTTCCAGGTTATGTGGTAATTCTATGTTTAACCTTTTGGGAAACTGCCAGATTGTTCTCCAAAGTGACTTACTTTTTTCCTTCTTTTAAAATTGTATATGTAACATAAAATTTGCCACCTTGGCCAGGCACAGTGGCCCACGCCTGTAATTCCAGCACTTTGGGAGGCTGAGGCAGGCAGATCAACTGAGGTTGGGAGATCAAGACCAGCCTGGCCAATATGGTGAAACCCCATCTCTACTAAAAATACAAAATTAGCTGGGTGTGGTGGCATGCGCCTGTAATCCCAGCTACTCGGGAGGCTAACGCAGGAGAATCACTTGAACCCAAGAGGCAGAGGTTGCAGTGAGCCCAGATTGTGCCATTGCACTCCAGCCTGGGCAAAAATAGCAAAACTCAGTCTCAAAAAAAAAAAAAAAAAATTGCCACTTTAAACATTTTTAAGTGAGAGTTTGGTGACATTCGGAAGCTCTTTTGGGCCTCCTTAGTGCTCCTCTGCCCTGGTTTTTTTTTTTTTTTTTTTTTTTTTTTTTTTTTT